CTTGAATAACTTCAGTGGTTCGAGCGAGAAAGATCAAGAGAGGAAGAAGGGGAAGAAGTTGAAACGCACGAGAAAGATGAAGAGAGGGAAACGAGAGTTCAACGATTGTTTTTTAATTGAGGGTATAAACGTAATTCCAACATTTTTTAGATTCATTATTTTAATATGGTGGTCCATTGAAAACAATTTTTCAATTGTGGGCCATTTGAGCAAATAGTTTTTTTCAGTGGGCCATTTATGTCAATTTCTCATTTATAACATTAGTAATATCTTGTACATATGGACGCGAAGTTGAGTATATATCAAAGAAGTACCTTGAGATAATGTCGACGATGCCCTCCGAGTGTTGCACCCAATTACCGAACTCATCCTCTAGTCCCTCCATGGCATTAAGTCACCTTCAATAAGAAGCTCGACTGTGGAACCATTTTGTTTTTTTGTCACCCCATTTAAGCCGACATTCACGAGATCGTTGTTTCCAGTAAATTTTCTCTTAGCCTCGAGGGACGTTTCTGCAGTAACCACACCCCCACCCCCAGAGAGGTTCTGAATAGCGACTTGCACCTTTGAAGAAGCCTCGTGAATCCGTCGTTGGTACCCGCCCACCTTCGTTTTACGCCAATTGAAGAGAGCCTCCAAACATCTATGGGCTTTTTGGGCAATAGTTCGTGGATGATAATTATTCATAGAATAAGAACAGCCATTAGTTACTACAGAAGCACAATCCGCATGAGTCAACCACAGATCCTCAAACCATGGGATTCTAGCGACACGATGCTGGCCCAAGATCGGTGACTGCCCGAACATAATTTCCACCGGTCGATGATCAGAAAAATGATAATCAAGATGCAGAACTGAATTAAACTGAGAAGTGCATGCCATGCAGTATTACAGAAGCATCGGTCTAACCGCTCAAAAATGGTCTCGCCTTCATCTCTTCAGTTCACCCAAGTAAATCGATCCCCAAAATCCTAAGTCCATCAGACTGCACTCATCCATGGCCGCCCGAAATTCCCAAAGAGCACTGTAAAATTTCACCGACCACCAAATTTTTCAGATGGAATAAGAATCTAATTTAAATCACCACCAATTAACCACGAAACAGTGTCACTCCTCAAAATTATTAATTAGAATGTAACTAAACACATTTAATTATATAAAATAGATAATTTAAATTTGGAAGGTAAATCTTATAATTAAATTTGATATATAGATATATGTTAATAATTATTTTATAAACTTAAAAGTAAAATTATAGATTAGAATTTAAGTAAAGAAATTCAATTCTATAAAATATAATATATCATTTTGGTGTAATTAATTGATAAAATTGAAAGATAGATATCAAACATGAAATTATATAACTTGGAAATTAAAATTATATAAATTATAAAGAAATTTGAACTATAATGTAAGTTAAAATCAGTTTACAAATAAGCAAAAGTATATAAAGTATTTTTTTTCTTACTTTGAAAGTGAAAATCATGAATAAGTTATAAAAATACGTCATATTTTTGTAATTATTTTGAGGATGGATAGAGTTAAGCAAAATATAATTTTGTAATTATTGTAAGGAGGGATAGAATTAAGCGAAATATAATTTTGTAATTATTGTGAGTGATAGAATTACGCAAAATATAATTTTGAAGAGTAATGGAATGAAAGAACTGGAGATATAAGTAGAATTCTACTAAATAATTATTTTAAGAATGTCACTGTGAAATTAAAAATATAATTGAAAAGTCAAATTGTAATATTATATAACTTAGACGTAGAATTAAAACTGGAAAATATAAGTAAACCTGAAATTACATTTATATAATTTATGAGATCAAACTTGGAACGTAGATAAAGAAGTTCAGTTTTATACTACTTGATAAAATTTTTGTTTTTAAAACATCTATGTTTTAGAAAGTAGAAATAAGAACTTTTTTTATATAAAAGAAAAAAAGAATTAAATACTTTAAAAACAATGTCCTTTTTTTATTATCAATTCTATAAGTTAAAGTGATTTTTATTTCATCATATTTTTTATTATCAATTCGATAAGTTAAAGTGATTTTTATTTCATCACATTTTTTTATATGTATAAATTGATCTAGATACCATATTTTGTCCGGCTTATTTTTCATTTCATGTTTGTTTATTTTATTTCTTTTTTTTCCGATGTTTCTTTTTGATTATTCTATTTAATAACAAAATCCAAATAGCAAAATTAATAAAGTAACCGATTTGCTTGTTTGTTTGTTTTTTGTTCCATTCGAAGTTCTTGTTTAACAAAATCCAATTTTTGTTTCCTTTTTTTAACAAAATCCATTTTTTTATTTTTTATTTTTTTTCTCCCAACTACTCCTCTAAGTTCTTTTATCTCTCTTCGTTTCTCTCTCCATATCTCTCCAACCTCAACCCTTTTCTTCAGCCACTCTCCCACCATTTTCTCATGATTACTCAACATCCCCATTTTCTCATCCCTAATCTTCTTCGCTTCACGGAAGGTAAGGATGTTTTTTATTTTTTATTTTTTTATTTGTCTCTCCCACGTTTGCTCTACTCCTCTTTTTCCTCTTTCCCTTCCTTGCACGTTATCTCCATTTCCTTTTTCCCTAAATTTTAAGTTCTATATCGCCTATATAAAGGTTGGATTTTCTTGAAAAATAAAAGGATAGAGAAGAGGGATTGAAATCTTACGAAATTTTGTTAATCTAATTCTTCCTTTTAAGTTTGTTTAGCTATATCTCTGCAAATTCATTGAGTGAAATTGCAACGTTATTTCTCCTCGAAAATCTCGGTGGAATTTTCACGAAAGGATTGAAGTTTTCTTGATCCTTCAATTTACAAAATGTGTGTCATGATTTTAGCAGGAGACTTTCATTTATTTTATGGTAATGAATTTCATGGATGTTCTAATGTCTCCTTAGTAGTTTTTTTTCTCCTTCCATGTCTATTCTGTTTAGCTTTATTTTGTTAATTTTGGTTCCAGATTTATTGTGATTGCTAAATCGATTCCATAAATTTGATATTGGAATAAAGGTGAAATTTGTTTAATTGATTTGCTTATTCTTTTTTCATGACTGTTCTATTTGAAATTTGAGTGTAGAGATATGCATTAATTTTTGTAATTTGAATAATCTGTAGATAATTTGAATCAACATCAAGACTTTTTATGGATTTTAAACCTTGTGATTATCTAATTTTGGGCCATGCTTATATTTTTCATATTGTGCTGCAGCTTGTTTTAAACCCAATGAAATCTCATGCATTTTCAAAATGCTTTCAAAATTTGGAACATTTAATTCATAACTAAATTAGTTTGTAAAAACTCCAAAAAGTCATTTTGCTTACGCAAAAACAAAAGACAATTTTAAATGTTTCTAAATTTTGAGATTGTCGCAATGTTCTTTTTTTTTTCCCTCTTTTCAAATGTCATAAATACGCGAATTTCTTCACCAAGTTGGTTTTATAAAATTAAAAAAAAAATCCTTTTTTGTTTTCACAAATAAAAACCTAGATTTGAGAACTAATAGTGTTCACTTTGGGAATTTTTCTAAAACACTCAGAAATCATGAAAGTTTTTTTGGAATAAAGTAGTGTTCTCTTTATGATTTTTTTTTAATAAATTCCATAAATACATGAAATTTTCCTTTTAAAATGAATTTTAATAAATTTAAACTGGTTTTCAAAACAATTAAAATGAGTTTCAAAAACTACTCACAATTTTACTAAAAAATAAAAGGGAGATTGAGTAGCGTTCTCTTTTTGGAATTTATTAAATTTCTTAAATACATGAAATTTCTCCTAAAAACAAATTTCAATATTTTTAATAAGATTTATGTCATTCATAGTAATTAATTCATATTTTATTTCTAAAATGTGGATTAATAAATATGGGACATTTAAAAATAAAATGAAATAAATCTTTGTGAACCTTCAATAGTTTTATGAAACGGATAATGATACCAATTGATGGGATGTAAATCCCGCAGCGGAAAACGGATCGAGTTCTTGAATTTTGAAGAACAAAACCACATAATTGAAAATGATGATATAGAGGGGAAAATAACGTTTCCCTTACCTTTGAAAAATGATTCTTCAATGGATTAACCCGAACACCACCAATAGAACTTCCTTACTATCCTTCTGGGTATGAGAATA